TAGTTTTACGTAAATAAATGTATATTATGTTTTTACAGTAGATTTAAGACGATTCTATGTAAATAAATGTATATTATGTTTTTACAGTACTGACGCAAATAATGTTTGGATCTTTGTTACAACCAGATGATTTCTGGAAGTCTGGTAATGGAAAAAAAGGCCTCGTCGGCAGTAACGTAGAGCATGCAAAGTGTGCAGTTGGAGCATTATATTATATACTTTTCTTGCTGAAAACCCCGTATAAAGGCAACAAAAGAAAGAAATTACGAAACTATTATAGATTTTTTGTGATATCATACCAACTAACGATGAACTGGTCTAATTGTTTTTCACTCGCCGATCTCTTTGTACTCAGAATGTGATTGTATTATACTTATATATATAATAAGACATTCGTATTAGGCCTATTATATTTATAACACTACACTCCTTATCTAGCCTTCTAGGGATTTTCAAAAATTAGATGAATGTATAACAATGGTATTCTAATCACATTACGTTCGTCATATACATTACTGACGACGTGTTTCGTTCAAACAAGAATTCTTTATACCAGCTTAAGTACAATAAACTCAGTAGTGGTCGAAACACTATTTATATAAGCCATATTTTTTTGTGTCCCAGCCGGCCTGAAGAGCTCTTGATGGAGCGAAATACGTCATCGCCAATGGATATAACGAATACAGTGTAATTAGAATGCTATTATTATACACTCTTCTAATTCTTGAGAATTCTTAAGGTATTGGATAAAGAATGTAGCGTTAAAAACATAATAAGTCTGATACTGATGTCTTATGACAAATATGATTATAATCATACTTCGTCAGTTTGTAAAAGGCGTACACATTATAACAATGTTTTGTCTCTTTTCTGACAGGATGACCAGCATTATGGTCCGAGGAACTTCTATAGTTATGCTCCTGTGCACGTGCATAGCTGTAGTATCTAGTGAAGTTGCAGATCCAAAAGAACGTGACAGTAAGTATTACTTAATAATATAATTAATTCGTCAAAGGAACTCTTTTAGTGTACATGTAAATAGCTGATTATGTAATAGAAAGGTTTTTAAACGTGGATAGTTTCAGCAAATATATCACCAGACAACCATCCTCTTATTTCTCCCAGAGTATTGCAGAAGACTAATGTTTTTACTCTAACATTTCCACTACAGAGGTACTTGTAAGCCTACTTTTATATGTTAATTCATATAACTTGGATCTTACAACACTTGTTTAACATTTATTTCAAAAAATGATTATTAACTGAACAAGGAACATGAAAATATCATATCTTACCTTGTACATGAATAGACAGCTTCTCTGGTAGTGGAAATTATCAATGAAATTAACCTGTTGGGCTACGGATCAAAATATATAAACCCGCGATATAACGCTAAACAGTTGTTCACTTTCAGCTGTAAACATATTACGAAACTGAAGTCAAACTCGTTATTTGGCTACGACTTCTGAATGGCTGCCTTACTCTTGATCAGCAATTCTAAACATGGTTACGTCTGAACCTTGGACTCTCCGATCCAGCCGTTTAGCTTGCATACAGTGCGGTTCAGGTTGAAAACACCAAATGCCAATAAACGACTTATGTGAAATTAACCAGCCTTAAAAATGGTACATTGCGACTCCATCTTTGGAGCCTCGTTTGTATGAGGCTACGATTCTGTTACCGTCTCTAATCAAAACTTTATAATAAAATAACATTAGAATCTAACATTTAATTTGTTTGTTTGTTTTTGGAATTTCGCGCAAAGCTACACAAGGGCTATCTGCGCTAGCCGTCCCTAATTTAGCAG